GTGCTTTCTCCAAGCCTTTTGGTCTGCTTTGGCTCTAGTCCAGTCTTGGAAGATAGACAGTAAGCCTTGTTGAAGATTAGAGCCAGCATTGCTGTTGACTAAGGAAAATGCACCTGCCTTCAAGGCCATGACCAGCATTCCGTTCTTGATATACTCTCAAAAAGGCTTTACTTTAAATCTGTACCTCTTTAGCTAATCCGAGTAAAACCATTCTTTCAAAAGTGAACTAGACTAAGATAGATGTTTTCTATATGCTGGTGTTTCCCAGTCTTTTCTACTGACTGCAAGAGAGAAGGTCCTAATCAGAGGAGGCACTTAGAATTCCAGCAATCTTGTCTTACTGCCTGCTTCACCTCCTCCTGTGGTACAGGTAACAGTACTGACCACAAGATAGCTATCTACTGTGGAAAACACCTCAACATACATGTCTCTTCAGTCTGTTTACCACCTGCTGGCACTGCAAAGAAATGTCAGCCGTAAAAACACTTCTGAGTTCTTAATTGTTCTTTAGGGAAAAGACTTATTTTGGCCTGCCCCTTTCAGCGCCATTCATATTTTGGTACTGCTGTGCATCTGTCCACATATCCACCTTTCAGTGTTACCAAGGTCATGGCTGGCCATGCATGACCTCACAGTTTCCCTCAGTGTAATTACATAAACATTTTCAAAAAGTTGCTCAATATTTTCTAATTAGCAACATGCATTTTTTGTGGTGCTCAAATAAGATATTTGACTAGTGGGAAATATTTCACATCCATTTTGGACAGCTAGTATTTAGCATATGGCTTAGATTAATGACCTGGTTCCATTCATTTTTTCCCCCAGCTGCTGATAGTGATTTTCAGTAGTAGTGAATTCTAGTCATCTCAATTTAGGACTCGGTTTCTATGAACATTCATTATAATATCCTATTGTTTTGTGTTTGTATAAGTCCTTTTTAAAAAAACATATGTAAAATACTTCTACTTTGAAGGATTGTTTTTCATTTTTTACTTCAAAGTTTTATTTTAAAAATTAACTTTTACTCAGGTACTACGGATCTGAGTGTAACTGACTGTGACTAGTAATAATCAGATACACAGAGATTAAAGACACATGTGCAAACATCTAAGTGTTAGTAGCATTAAAAATGTAGGAAACGGCATGTGTTAAAATGAAATGGAGATCTTATTTAAAGGGTAAAAACTCATCCAGTTTTATGTCTTACAGGGTTTATACTGAGTTCAATGTTGTGTAACTGTATTAATTCAACTGTGAACCTAAAAATTTACAGCCTCTTTTGAAAGAGATGTATCCTTGCTCTGGAATGTGTCACTGAATATGTAAAAGCTGTAATGAAATGCTGCTTCTAATCAAGTGGTTATTAAATAAAATTTTTAAATTAACCTTTGCTGTTTTGCTACCTTAATATCTTCTTTGGGATGCTACTAGTATATTACAAAAAATATAAGAAATCTTTTGTAAAATCTACATATTCCTAGAATGGATGATAATAATGTGTTTGAACATATTTCCCCAGACAAGATAAGCATACAAGTCAGTGAATCCTGTATCTACGTGTGTGCTGTAGCTGGTACTTTTGAGCAAATTCTCAGTCATGTGTTTCCTCTTTTATTTTGATCTTACTTCTAGACACAAGCCCTCAGTTCTTATTGCTCCCTAAGCCTTCTGGTTCTTTGGATACTGGTACTCAGCTGTTCTCCTGGCCATGTGTAATGATCTCTCTTTAAGTATCAGTCTACTTTTCACTACCAAACTTACTTTCTGGCACCAGGAGAAATGGAACTAGAATCTTCTTTCTGGGAGTTGGGTACCTCCCACTTCATTTGCTGTGACCCAAACACTCTCTTCAGAACGCTTCCTTTGAAAAACTTTGAGATGATCTTCTCCCTCTGAATGTTGCTGAACACTCTTCCCTCTGGGAACCAGCTGATTTTGTCATGAACACAACCGTGGCCTGCTGGTAGGTGAAGGTGTTCCTGAAACACAGGAGCCCTCTTTGAAGAAAAGAAAAAAAATGAAAGGTGGGGAGGGGGAATTGCTGGTTACCTAAGAGCTGTGAGTGAAGATCCGTCTAACTAGAAAGACAACCTAGCGTGCTGCTGTGCCCTGTTCTACACTGCACTGTGGGATCAATTTAGTTAAGAAGGCCACCACTGAGGCCTATGTGGTCACTGGTCAGGCATGACAACTCATTCTGTCCTGCACTGGCACAGTAGAATTCTCTCATCTGCTCTTGAGGAAAACAGTAATCTATAATACATGGTTTGAAAAGGCATTGGACGTTGAAGAAAAGAATATTGTAAATAAGTGGGATAGAATACGAAGTAAAAGTTGCAAGCATTTGCTCCATATTGGAGACTGATTACCTTGAACCCAAATCACCAGGCTTATGGCCAGCAGAGTGTTTGCCAGCTCACCGAGCTCCCATCCTAAACAGTGCTCTTTCTACCACACTATACTTAGAAAAAACAAATGAGATGACACCTACAAGTCTTACTTATTGTTTAAAAAAACAGGCCCCCAATCCATCTGATCGTTTATTAAAATAAAATTTGTGGTGGAACAGTATTGGAATATGTATTTGTACATTTTCTTTATTCATTTCTTGATGGACATCTAGGCTGATTCTATACGCTGGCTGTTGTGAACACTGCTGTAAACATGGGTGTACAGGCGTCTCGCCAACATACAGATCTTATTTCCTTTGGTATAGACCCAGCAGGGGATGGCTGGCTCTACACTAGTTCTATTTTAAATTTTTGGATGAACCTCTACACTGTTTTTCATAATGGCTGTGCTAATTTACATTCCCACTAACAACGAAAGGGAATTGTAAGGTTCTCTTTTTCTCTGCACCCTTGTCAGAATTTTGTCTTCTTGATAATAGTAAAAGTTTTTAAAAGATAGCATTTAATAATTGTGACTACTTCTGGGTTCAGCCAAGGTCAGTAAGCTTCAGTTAGCTATGAACATTCCATCAGTTGCTATTTAGAGTAACAAGAACTTGTGGATAAGCTGAGTGTGGTGGTACATACCTTGAATCCTAGTACTCTGGGAGGCAGAGGCAAGTGGATTTCTGTGGGTTCCAGTCTAGCCTGGTCTATGTAGCAAGTCCCAGGCTACATAGAGAGACCCTGTGTCAAACAAAACAACAAAAATGTTATTGCTCACTAAGCAAGGCAGGCACCTTTAGGAACAAATTCCCATGTTAATGCATGTTCAAAGTAGCTTTCATTTTCAGGCAAAACTGTGAAACAAGCTGAGTAGTCCCAGAGGCATTCCTGTTCGCCATTTTAATCTTTCAAGTTTGTACTCCAAAACCTTGAGCTAAGCAAAATGTGTCTCTCATCTTTCCTTCTTAAATAATGACCTTAAACATCAGGAACATACTCCTCAACTGAGCATGCCCAGGACTGTGCCTATCTTTAAAGCGTTTTCCTATATGACTATATATAATAGGCTTTCCCAATGAAACCCCCGTGCTTCCTTTACTCCAGGAGGGCACTGCTTTGGAAACAAGTCCTGTGCTGTCTTTGCCTGCTACAGGTAGGAATTTTTCTCCACTCCTTTGTGTCTTGGCCTTCTTAGTTTTTGCTATGTGTTCAAGAAGCAGTCCATTTCGTTTGCTTATACTCTACGTCAACTTACACGGCATATAAAGAACCATATTTTGATCACTTCTTTATATAATGAAAATATGATTTGTTCTTTTTTATTTGTGAAAAGGCTAGAGTAACATGTTCAACTTTTCTTAGAGGAAAGAAACTGAGCCAGGACATGTGTTCTGCTTGCCAGCATATTCCGTCTGCTGTTCCCCAGTCAGAAGCACTATACAATTATGAGACTCACATTGTGTTCAAGTGTTCTTGTTAGCTCTATGTTTTCAAATGTGTGGATGTACTTCTTTGTTTTTAACAGCTTTACTTTGTTGTTTGCAGGTTGAGAATAAAGAAGTGGAATTTCATATTTCCTGCTCCGGACACAAATGCACCATATGGTACAGCCAGTGTTCTTTTTTAAGGTCTTGGCCAAAGGTTTTCAGGTTTGGTACAGAGCTGGCCAAGTGTGCCTGGAGCATGTTCATCCCAGTTTCTCACCATTCTGCAATGTTCAGAATGTTCAACATTTTTCAGCCAGTTCAACAGAGTTGAGTCATTGTAGGGGACCCTGGCGCACTGGCTGCTGGTGGAACTGAGTGAAAGAGCAGATCTAACCAGCTTTCATTTGCATTTCTGTCCCAATTTGGAGACAATTGGGAGTGGTTCTTAGTAGCTTCCCATTTGCTCAGGGTTGGCTTATTATGTTTGGAGCTTTATGATTACTTAGTACTTCTGTTATCCTCTCTTCCTTGATCTGTGGTGAAGAGAAGCTCTACCAGGAAAGTTAGAGCTGGGGATTTTTGTTTGTTCACTTTGGGATTTTTGTTTGTTTGGAAAAGAAAATTAAAAGCAGTTGGGCCTCTTACCTGTGTTAATTTGGACATTGCCTTAGTTTTGGACCATGAAGCTCTTCCTCAGTTCTACAGAGGGCTGTGCTGGTGTAACCACTCTCTTTTGGAGCCTCGTAGATCTGTGGAGTCTTAATTATGCACACCCAGGGTTCAAAGCCTCTGCGAAGTGCCATGTGGGAAGACAGCACAGACCATGTGCACACCGATCACCTTCCCTTCACTTCCCTTCAGGAAAACTCTCTTTTTCTCCTCAGAACTCATCCATATCCAGACAGGAAAGCAGAGTTTCTGTGGACAATCCTTGAAAGATTTGGCAGGATGCTTTCCATGAGCAGCTTTTCTTTGCACTGAAGATGCAGAAGAAGAAGCCCTCGGGGTTCTAGGCCAGTACCCCGGCCATTGTGATGCTCAGAATGCAAAACAGTCAGAGCCCAGAAAACGGATTCCATGATCTTTTCCTGGATTTTATAGAATGGAAGCAAGAGAACAAACAAGTTATTCCACTCTTTAAGTTCTCAACTTGTTCTCTGTAATTTAAGAGACCATCATGGAAACAGCCAGCAACACTTCTTCCGCGAAACTCCAAGGTCTTCACGAATATGAGTCAAAAGATTATGCCCAGCCTGACATCATGAATCACACTTTTGAGCTTCTGTCTAACCTTCACAAGTTGCTTCCAAATCATCTGGTGGAAGCACTTCATTCCTACAGGAGCAAGGAGGATAAAATCAAATGTATGCAGTAGAGGGTACATGGGACTGCTTTTATTTTCATCTTGGTAGAAGAGTCATTTTCTTTTAGCCATGGGTATTGACTTCTTGACATTGTGGGGGCCATGCTGCATCATGAGTTTCCAAGCCTGTGTTTTCAGAGCTGGCTGTGGAATTTACCAATGGGAAGAATGAACTGTCTCTTCTTTAAGTAGGCTTTCATGGACCAACATTGGTCACTCATCTTTAGGCAAAGCACACCTGCAGAAGCATGAAAATGGGCCAAGTATGAAATAACCTAATTTTCAAATTAAGTTTTAGATTTGATTTTAAGATTAGTGAGAGAGCTTCCAAGTTGAAGGTCAGATCATAAACTTCATCCCTTTACTCTGCTCCACCCCCCATCTCCTTTTGTCACAATTTTATGGCACCCTAAGAAGAAGTTGGTCATTCCCCTGAGGATTCTAAGTCATTTGAAATTCTTCCTTAGCATTGCTATTTTGAGATTGGGTCTCAAGATTCCCTTGATGAAGGAAGAGAATGTGGGCTTCCATTCTGGTAAAGTTTTGTGTGTCACTGCAGAGAGGAATTTGGTTAGGACCCAGCTGAGGTCAATGTGAACCAATCAATGGATGTGACTTATCCAGAATATAGAGACCATATCTGAAGATTACATATATTTCTGCAAAGCAGGATCAAATGTGCCTTGATAAGCACGAGAATGAGGGTACAATCCCACCTTGCCAGGTGTCACCTGCAAAATTATTATTTTCCTCTTTCTAGATTTCATCCATAGCCTTGAGAGTGGGCTGCTAGCCTAAAGAGATTCTGCTTCCTTGCCTGTCTGTCTTTTCCTTGATGCTTAGAGCATCTCCTCAATTTTTCAAGTGACTCTGTAGATTCCCTTGTCCTAACAGTGAGTAGCAGTGCCTGGTGCCCCTTCACAGTGAGCCTGGGCATTGGTTTCTGACTTGTCTGGTATGACAGGATGCCCCCTCACCCCACAAGTCACAGGAAGGAAGCAGTTTTATTACTTACATACAGGCACTTTTAGGATAACAGAAGTCTACAATGCACTGGGAGCGGGTTCCCCAGGCCAAGAAAGCACTCAGGGTACTCGAGGTCTGGATTGTATATGCCCCACTTGCACCATGGATGAGCAGCCATGGAAAGCAGCTCATCTGGTTTTTATACGTTGGGGTTATTTTAGTCATGGACTAAAGCATTGAAGGACATCTTGTTTCTAACCAGAAGAGGAACAGACCCCAGTTTTTCCAGCCAGCTCTCCATTATCTCAAGATGTTACATTCACAGCATGTTCTACAGCTCTTCTTGAGAACAAGGGGGAAGTAGGGAAGACTTAGTTTTGTCCAAGGCCACCTGGAGAAACAACCAACGGCACCTGCCTCTAATGGAGCTGCTGGTTGATGTGGGAGGGACGCCTTTGCAGTTAAGCCCCCGTGATACCACCTCATCTAACAGTTCTACCATGTTGTTATAACTGTCAGTGGCCACTCAGAGAGTTTGAGTAGTAGCTACAAAGACCAAACATCAAGTCTCAAGTATTAGGCCCCCCAAAGCAGAACACTTCACTGGTATAGTTGAAAAATAGACTTTGCTTTTAACAGAGTGAGAAAAACCAGTCTACTCTTAGTCAAAATAAAGTGGAATCATACAGAATGATAAATTACACTCCCAGGTTCTTCCTGATGAACCATGCTGCTATTTGAAATGGAACCCTTATGCTGTGGTTATTCCCAGGCAAAATAGCCATTAGGACAGAGACCCAAATTAGGAGATAGACGATGGTGTCAACTTACCCGATTTCTTCTGAGAAACTTCAAAATGCAAAACTAGTATGACAACAACAACAACAACAACAACAATAATAATAATAGATGGTGGAGGAGATAGACGATGGTGTCAACTTACCCGATTTCTTCTGAGAAACTTCAAAGTGCAAAACTAGTATGACAACAACAACAACAATAATAATAATAGATGGTGACTTGCCATTAATGTGCAAACCTTTCATGAGGAGCCTGCATCCCCAACAGGGGCTGTAGCACGCTTCATCTGTTCATGCATACATTTATGTCCAGCGCATCTGTCAGAACACTGAGAGCTAAGTGTTCAGTCATTTTGCTGGGGTGAAGCAGTGGCAGAGCTGAAAAGGATATCACGCTTCATCTGTTCATGCATACATTTATGTCCAGCGCATCTGTCAGAACGCTGAGAGCTAAGTGTTCAGTCATTTTGCTGGGGTGAAGCAGCGGCAGAGCTGAAAAGGATACGGCATAGATAGGGCTGGAGGTATGGCTCAGTGGTAGAGCACCTGCCTAAGACATGGGAGGCCCTGGGTTCCGTCCTCAGAGCCTCACACACAGGCAAACGCATAAGCCACTTTGCTATGTAGACTGGAAACAAACACTGAATTATATTAATACTTACCACCAGGTGAGGCTCCTGAACTCTCCGCCTTAGAAAAGATCTTAGCAAGACATCAGATGCCAAAAGAGATTAGTTTGACTCCAAAGCCAAGCAGAATGCCCTCATGGAGAAGAAAAAATGTCAGCAATTTGAATGACAGTTGGAAGAAATGCCATTTGTTAAGGGATCCGCCCATGCACACCATCATTGTCAGGTAGGCTCTTGAACTTGGGTTCCAGGCACATACTTAATGTGGTCTTTGTGAAACATGGAGGACATGACAACAAGCCATACTCTGTAGAAAAGCACATAGCCTCCAATTTTGCCCACCACACTCTATGGAAAGAACTCTCACTGGGAGAGAAGTCATGGAGATGTGAAGAGTGGTGAGCCATTCCCAGCCATCACCTTCTAGAGAGCAGAGATCTGCAGGGCTGGAGGAGAATTATTGGATACAGAGCCATCTATTGAGTGCCACCATTAGCATAACCAGGCACTACACCCTTGACTTTATCCCCAGTCTGTCAGAGTTTACACTGAGAAATGGAGAGCCATTGCAAGGGCTTAACAGCTGAGGTGGTAGATTAAGGGCTGTTTCCAGGGAAACAGGTAGAAGCCGGAGACCTCCTGAGAGCTTTTGCAACCGACAGGAGTAAGGAATAGCGGGCCTCAGACCAGGTAGAGAGCAGATGAGTACTTGACTGAACTCTGGTGCTCAAAGTCCTAAGATTTGTTACTCAGAAAACTATCTTATTTGGTACATTTCCTTGTTAATGCTAGATAGAGGGTGTGTTTACATTTGCTGCTTTAACGCTGCTGATTACATTGTACAACGTGATGCCCAGGCTTTGCACATAGTAGATATTTGAAGATTGTTGCTCCGTTGACAGGAGAATAACAGGGCCTCTCTGATCTTCATTTGGGTAACAAATCCAGGCGAGAGTTCCAGCTCATGAATTTGCCTATATGAAAGCTTCCTTTGGGATCATCATCCTAGCGAACCAATTCCCTTTTCTACTTTTCCCCCAGTGTCTCCAGTTTTAGAACTTGCCAACTGGATTTAAAAATCCATAGTCAGACAGAGCAAAGCTATGGTACAAAGGAAGGTTAGAACCATGACTTTTCTGGACAATGCAATGGCACTGAACTTTTGTGTGGTGCAGAAAAGGGTAAAAGGTACTTTTAGATAGTCAGAGTAAGATTATTTGACCATGTTTGGGGGTTTCTTATTTTTATTTTTTGGTTTATATTTTTATTTGCATATGAATGTTATACCTGCATGTATATAAGTGCACGCATGTCGTACAATGTCCGAGGAGGACAGAAGAGGGTGTTGGATCCCCTGGAACTGGTTTTTAGCCACCATGTGGGTCCTGGGACTTGAACCAGGTCTTCTGCAAGAACAGCAAGTATTTTTTTTCAATTATTTATTTATTTATTTATTTATTTTAATTATTTATTTAATAACCACATAATTAGAAGAAGCATTTCATTACAACAGCATTGACATATTCAATAACAATTTCCAGAGCTAAGATATATCTCTTTCAAAATTGACTGTAAATTTTTAGGTTCACAGTTGAATTAATACAGTTATACAATATTGAACTCTGTATAAAGCCCATAAGACATAAAATTGAATGAGGTTTTAACCTTTAAGAAACATCTGCATTTCATTTTAAAATATATTGTTTCATACAGAAAACAATATCATTTTTAATGCTACCAACACTTAGATGTTTGCATATGCATCTCTAATCTCTATGTACCTGAGTATTACTAGTCAGAGTCGGTTACTTTCTGAGATCCTTGGCACCTGAGCATGGATATAAGGTCATCAGGTAGATTTTAATGGTAGTATTTTTCACCTCTACTAATTAACATGAAGCAAATTTTTATGCTTCTTCCTCAAATATAACAAATTTTTTATTTGTTGATTTTTTGTGTTTTTCATACAGAACATCACAAACAATCTTATTCATCTACATACCCACATCCCAAATGACAGCCCCCATAAACTTTCCCCCCTCCACACTACTTGTCCATCTGGTGAATCTAGTCAGCCTATCTAGAGGTCTTTGTTTTAGGAGGGTCAGCTGTTCCTCACCTAGCGGTAATCAGTTGTCAATATTCCTTTGGCTAAGATTGGGGTCTCTTGTTCATTTTCCCAGTTCGATGCTGGGTTACTAACTGGGAATCCCTTTGGTCACCTTGACGAACAACTCAAAAGAAGGTATCTCGTGTCTGGCATTGTTGCTTGTTATGTAGCCTTTAGCTATACATATGGACTCTTATGAAATTATATTGGCCCCTTTAATCTTTCGTTATACTTTCCTTTTGGGTGTTTAAGGCCATACAGTTGGTCCAGATAAACCAACCTATTTTACTCTTTTGTTTGAGATGCAGTCTCACTAAATTGCCAATAATGGCCTTGAACTCACTCTGTAACTAGGGTAGCCCTTGAATTTAGGAACCTCCTGGCTCAGTCTCCCAA